ACAACCAAATATATGAAGAAGAAGAAGAAGAAGAAGAAGAAGAAGAAGAAGAAGAAGAAGAAGAAGAAGAAGAAGAAGAAGAAGAAGTCCACATGCAGGAGGGCTGTGGGAGCTGTTCTGTGTTCTAGGATTTTGCGCTGAACAGATCACATCTTCTTCTCCATCCAGCTTTGCCACACACTAATCTCCTGCTTTACCATGTTAGGTAGAAATGACCTGGAGGACATTTATCCCAGTTTTCAAAGTCTTCCCAATGAGGATGATGTCTAGGGATTTCACAGATACTCTTTCAGGTTGAATATTTTTTCTCTTCCAGTCGCACCTTAGTAAGAACTTTGTGGTAGACGGGTGGATACTTTGTTTCCCTAAGAAACTTCCCCTAGAAGTTTGCTGCTGTCTGAGCCTTCAGATGGTAGCCAGCTCTCTTCCTCTGTGGCTTCTTGCATGAGGCCACACAGATGGACAGGATGGGACAACAAGCAGTGGGGAATAGACCAAAATGTGTGGCTTATTCAAAAGAACAGAGAAAAGCCCTCTCTACAAGGGATGGGGGGGGGGATACACAGTGACAGGTGCTGGCCCTAGGATAAACTGCTGAGTCATTATGGCGGTCATTTAACGTGGCTGAGGCCCTCAAGCCAAAAGCCCATCTTCCCAAGGCCACCTCCCAGCTTCTTCTCCAACTCAGCCCAAAGTGCAGTTTCCTTTCACCCTTCCCACCGCCTCAGGGAAGACCCCCAATCAACTTGCTCAGGTGTATCTAAACATCCCCTTCAAACTCCACCCCTGGAAAAGGCTATAAAAGCCTCAGCCCCCCTTTGTTCAACTCTAGAGAATTCCATATCTTCCCCAGATTCTCTGTGAGTCCTCAAAGATAGTAGCCCCTTTCCCTTTTCCTTCTGCCTGTTTCTCTGCTGTGCTGGGTACCTGAAAAAACTTATGAAAGAGGACACCAAGGAAGTGCCTGAATCTAAAAGCTTTCATGTAGCTCTTTAGGGCAGAAAATCTAATGAGAACTATTTTATTTATTTTATTTTATTTTATTTTATTTTATTTTATTTTATTTTATTTTTCATGTATGTATTTGGTACAGGGTCTCACTACGCAGCTCAGACTCTGTAGTGATCCTCCTGTTTTCAGCCTCCTCAGCTCTGGGATTACAGGTATACCAGTCGGTTGCACGCTAAGAGCTCCCCGGGGGCAGGGACCAGGGATCAAACCCTGGTCTTTGAGTTTGCCAAAGCAGGTGCTTCGTCCACCGATCTAACTCATTTTGGTTTTGGGTTGGTTTTGTTGTTGTTGTTCTGTTCTGTTGTGTTTTGTTTTTTCAGCAGCAGGTTTGGTGCTGTTCAGTACTGCTTAGGCAGGGTTCCATTTGCCAGTTCCATCAGTTCCACTGGTTCTTTATCTTTTGCAACTTCAATGTCCCTTGAGGATTATTCTCTAACTTTGATCATGTTCTCTTTGCCCTTAGTTGGTCTTGGCTCTGTAGGTGGTGGGTAACCCAGAAAGATGGTGCTGGGCCATTCACTCCTGCTGCTGCCTCTGGTGGGAATGTTTTCTATTGACTTTAACAGGACTACTTAGGGGCTGGGGAGATGGCTCAGTGGAATAAGTGCTTCCCTGGCAAGCGCAAGGGCCTGAGTTCAATCCGTGGTTCCACCAAAAATGAATAAATAAATAAAATTAGTTAAAAAAACAAAACAGGACTACTTAACCCTGCCCTCGCCAAGAAATCGCCTGTTTTCTAGACATACTTGTCCTTCGTGTCATTGTGTAGTCAGGATAGTGTAGTCGCCCCTGCTAGGATAGTAAATCTTACTCTTTAACAGCTGATTTACTGGACTGAGGCGCTCTAAGAGGCCAAATGAAAGAGGCCAAATGACAGTCTCAAGTTCAAGCCTAGTGGAGAGTGTGTCACGTCTCTTGAGCGAGGCATCTGGCCTTTGGAATTGATAATCCCCACCTACCCACCCCGGGGGACTTTCAGCGATGTGCGAAGCCTGGCCAGCAGGTGCTACTGACATCTAGTGGTAGGAGCTGGGGATGCTGCTAAACATCCTCAGAGTCCCTTGGCGCACAACTCCCCGTGACAGTTATCAGGAACCCAAGGGACACTACCGCCCAGGCTGAGAAAAATTGCTCTAAATCAGGAGAACTCAAAATTGTGGGGATGGGAAGTAAAATTCTCTTCTAAGGGACCACTTGGAGTAACACGAAGAGAATCTGGTTTCTTTTTCTATCTGGTTTTCTTTGCTCTGTGCTATTTTTTTTTTTTTAATAACAAACTACGTAAAGCAATAATTTGAGTTGTACAATGTGGTTCTTCCTCCTAAAGAGGAAATATTATTGGTTTTTATCACATTGCTTTTCTTTTAATTTTTAGTAACCATTCGGGCACAAAAGAATGTGATTTGCCTACACCATACAGATGGAAAGTAGAATTTTCCAGGAGAAGCTACCTGGCTTCAAACAATTCCTTTGACTCATCTGTAAAGTGGACACTGATTCATGCCAGTAATCAGTCTTTTAAGTTACAGTAGCAGGTGAGATCCTTTGTCGTTGGCCCAATCCGCAGTTTGTATTATTCCCATATTTGGTTACCTAATAAACAAAACTGAATAATTTTGTTTTCCAATTTAACTGATGTCCATTTACGTCCCAATTTTATCCTTTCCTGTGGCGATTATATCAAGACTGAACTCAGATCCATCCCTTTCAATAAGTGTTCTCACCCAGACGTGCTGTCCCGCAGTCCTCTTCAAACTTGGTAATTTCAATTAAACAAACTTTCCTGCCTGTTATTTATGGATTTATTTTCTGATTGTAGAGACCCTACAACTACCTTACCTGTCTATACCTCTATTTGTTCATCTGAAAAATGCGAAGGATTTTTTTTTGGGGGGGGGCTGGTTCAGGCTACCTTAAGGGTGGGTCTGGTAAGGCATTCGGAACTGGGGATCGAACCGAGGTCCCCTGCGCCTGACTGCTTTTGCATGAGCAGGCTCTTAAACAACTAAGCTAAACCGCAGGCCCCCTAAAGTTGAGAGGATTTTTTTTTTTTTAACGCGAATGGGTAATATTACCTGTTTTTACAGGGCTGTTTCCAGGATTAAATCAGCTAAAATTGGAAATATTTCTACAATAATGGTGGTGACATTCTCAAATCAATGTGAGATCTTGCTACCATTCCTTAAAAATATCCTGATCGCGATAGAACAGTTTTTACCAGAAAGCCAAAAATCCTAAAGATTAGGTTTAAAATCAGGCGTGGTGGTGCACGCCTGAATCCTGAATCCTAGCATTTGGGAGTCTGGAGCAGGAGGATTGTCGTAAATTCGAGACTAGTCTGTATTACTGAAGTCAAGGCCAGCCTGAACTGCATAGTGAAACCCTGTCTCAAAAAAAGATTGAGGGGCCTGAGGAGATAGCTCAGTAGAATAAGCGCTTGCCAGGCAAGTACAGGGTCCTGAGTTCAATCCCCCAGTACCACTGAAGAAAAAAAAAAAAAAAAAAGCTCAGCTTTATGGCCTGTACCATCAGAGAACCCCTTTCCAAGCTTAAATACTACTGGATTATGAGCATTTAAAAATGAAGCAAGCAACAGGAAAAAAAGATTGAAAAATTAGGTTTAAAAATTTTAGTAGATTAAAAAAAATTCTGGGGCTGGGGAGATGGCTCAGTAGAATAAGCACTTGCCTGGTAAGCGCAAGGGCCTGAGTTCAATCCCCTGTTCTGCCATAAATAAATAAACAAACAAACTACTAGATTTCTGCCATAAGAGTGGTTTAAATGGAGAACCATTGCGCCTGCGCAGTGCGGGCGGTGGGCGGGGTATGAGCATTGTGGGCGGAGTCGCCGGGAGCGGTGCGGCGCATGCGCCTGGCGGAAGACGCGTGCGCGGGGCGGAGCGAGCGGCCCTGCGCGCGGCTCCGGGTTCCTCGGCTCCTCTGCCTCTCAGTCTGTTAGCTTCCCGGCTGGCGCCCGTCCGAGTCATGGATTTTGAAAATCTTTTCTCAAAACCACCCAACCCGGCCCTCGGCAAAAGACCGGCCTCAGACTCTGACGAAAGGTGATCATCTTCTTTTGTTTGAGAGTAGGTGCCCGGCGGACCCCGCGCCGTCGTGCCTCCGGACGCCGCGGGCGCCCGAGCTGCGCGGGGTGGGCCTGGCGGGCTGGGGTCGCACGTGGCGCGGGGACAGCCCTCCCCGACCCGGATCCCCGACCACCGGGCGGGCCGTGGGGAGCCGGGCAATGCGGGAGCGTCGCCCCGCGCTCGCCGGGTTCGCTGCGCCTTCCCGCGGACAGAGATCACTCGCGGTTTCTCCGTGACTCGTGCAAGGGCTCTTCTGTGGCAAGGACAAAGCCGCAAGTTTATTTAAACTAAAGCAGCGAATAGCAGGGATGCCTGTAAATCTAAGCACGCGGGAGGTTGAGGCGGGAGGATCGCCGCGAGTTCGAGGCCGCCCAGAACGGCATCATCGAGACCGCGGGGGGGGGGGGGGTCAGATTTAATGTGCGCTTTGATGTTGAAAAATCGAGTTAAGATTGCTGGCCAAATGGTTCCAATTTATTAATCTGTAGTTTACACGCAGCTGTTCATTTGCTTTTCATTCTTTGTGCTTGAAGCTTAGAAATCATCTCAAAACTTTTTCTTCTGTTTCCCTAAGCTGAAACCCAATTGATACATCATTGGTTTCCTTCATCCAAGATGTATCCCTCTATTCTGCTTTGTTTTACCTCTTTATAGCACTCTGTTCACTTCTGTCTCTGACATCTTAGTTGAAAGTATTAACTTAATTCAAGCTACTATTAAGAGCTTTATTACATACTTTATGTGCACTGCATTTCATAATCCTCACAACAATCTTTTTTTTTTTTTTCTTTTTGAGACACTGTCTTGCTGTGCGCCGGTTCAGGCTAGCCTGGCCTTGAGCTCATTTTGAGGTCCAGGCTGGTCTCGAACTCGCAGGGACCCTCCAGCCTCAACCTCCTGACTGCTGGGATTACATGCATGCACTACGATGCCCGGCACAAAAATCTTAATTAGAATGTTATCCTCGTTTTTTACCCATGAGGAAATTGCACAGAGAGGTCATGTACCCTACAGGATTGCAGTGTAAATGGCAAAGATAAGATTGAATTGCTCCGACAGTGATTTCAGGCCCTGTGATTTCACCCCCTGCCTCCTGAAGCTAAATTGCTGCTGTAAAAAATAAGACCTGTCCGTGTTAGAAGGAGGTACTACTTGGTGAACAGTGTGACCATCTAGAAAAAAATAAGAGAAACTGACAGAGCGTCACCGATTTCGACAAAGTGAACATCACAAAGTAAAATAGAAAAATTTACTTATTTTTGAGATACGATCTTACTATGTAGTGCAGCCTGGCCTGAAACACAGGGTAATCTAACTTCCTCAGCTTCCCAAGTACTAGGATTACAGCCCTGTGCCTGTATGCCTGGCAAAAAAATTTAAAGCTGCCAATTTAAAAATAGATTGGATAAGGGGCTGGTGAGATGGCTCAGTGGTCTAAAGCACCTACTTAGAACAAGCTTAGCAAAGTACAGGGACCACAGTTCAATCCCCCAGCACCACATGCCAGCCAGCCCCGCCCCCTGGTGGGCTGAGCTGGCCACACACACACACACACACACACACACACACACAAATAAATAAATAAAAAATTAAAAAAAAATAGATTGGATAAACAATTTATTCACAAAAACTTGACTGAAAATAGAAGAAAAGACCCGTGGAGAATGCTCTGGTGATGCATACTGCTGGTGCATGCATACCTGCAGTCCTGCAGCTAGGACTGCTCATGCAAACCCTTTAGCCACCTGCTGAGGCTGTGAGAAGTAACGGAAGGGACTGGGGGTGTTGAGTGTGAAGGCCCTGGGTTCAGTCTCCAGAACTGGACAGGCTGGGGGAGAGGACACTTGGAGTTTTCCAGAGGTGGGTGAAGGGTGGTCTGGAAATAAAATGTGCTGTCCATTTATTCATATTGTTTGCCTGTTTTTCTTTTTGACTGTTGATCTTCCTCTTTGAAATTCTATGATCTCTGTACATATTTTACTCACATTTTGTCTTTTGACTTTGCCCATGGCTTTTTTTTTTTTTAATTTTAGGACAGGGTGTACAGGGTTTCACTGCATAGATCGGACTCATCGTGATCCTCCCGTTTATAGCCTCCAAAGTGCTGGGATTACAGGCTTGTGCCACCACTTCCAGTCTTAATCTTAATTTCAGCATGCCCTGGGGGCAGGGCTGACACAGCAAGTGGGGATCTAACTCCCAGCCTCTGCTCCTGCATCTGCCTAAGCAGGCACTTTAATCCACTGAGCTATTTGGCTGGCCCTGCCCATGGCATTTTTCAGTGCACTAAAAGGGATTTTTTTTTTCTCTCTTTACTTTGCTTTCCTTTATGCACTCAAAAGGGTTGATCTTTTATGGTTTCTTTTTTTTTTTTTCCCCCACTACTTTATGATGAAAATACTCTTTTTTCTTTTTTTTTTTTTTGTTTTGTTTTGTTTTGTTTTATTGAGCATGTGCTATATCGGGGAAATTCTAGGGGTTATAGCAGTAAATGAACAAGAGATAAAAATCCTTCTATTCCTAAAATGTGTATCCTGGGAGAGAGGAAGAGGCAGACAATATATAAATGTGTAATGTTTCTGATGATAATAAACACCATGAAAAAAATGAGAGCAGACTAGGGGGGTTAAATGCTTGTGAGCTGGGCATGGTGGCACACCTGTAGTACAAGCACTTGGGAAGCTGAGTCAGGAGGATCACTTGTGCTTCCAGGCCAGCCTGTACTGCACAGTGAAATCTTATCTCAAGAAGACAAAAAAGAGAAAAAATTAGCGGGATGGTAGGGTGGGTATTGATATATATATATATATATATTTTTTTTTTTTAATTTTTTGAGATTGTAATATTGTTTATTTTTTCTTTTTATTGAGAAATAAATATGAATGAGACAGTTTCACAGCTGATTAATAGGACAGTTTTGATAGTCAATACACTGTACATTGTTATCTTCTTAGCGGTTATCCATGGTACAAGAAGCAGACAGGATATTCTGTCCAAGGGTGTTGATATTTTAAAGAAGACAATTGAAAAACCTCAGAGGTAACTTTAATCAGTAGTATCTGAGGTAGCACCAGATCCATGAATGGAGGTGTGGGACATTGTTGTGTGGAGAAGAGAGTGTTTTGTGTGGAGATAAAGAGGTAGGGAAAATGTGATGCGATTGGGTGCAGATAAAATGGGCCCTGAGGTCTGGGTGGTACTGGAAAGGATTGGGAAAGCAGCTCGGGTAAGGACTTAGAAGTGCCTTTTTTGAAATAGTATTTGGTACAGGGTCTCACTACACAGTTCAGACTTGTAATGATCCTCCTGTTTTCAGACTCTCCAGCACAGGGATTACAGGTGTGTGCCACCATGCCTGGTTAACGTGGCTGGCCCAGTGTGCCTGGGGTGGGGCTGGTGTGGCAAGTGGTGCTAGGGGATTGAACCTGGCTCCCTGCGCCGCCTAAGCTATCTCGCCGGCCTGAGTGGCATCTTGATGACAGGTTATTACTTGATTGAGATGAGTCCACTGGAAGGCTTTCCCCAGGAGTGACACTGTCTGATATGTGCGTTAGCGCTGTGACTTGGTGGTGAGGGGAGATGGTAGAGGAACTGGAGAGCAGCTTGGATCATTATTGGCAAGAAGTAGTCGAACACGGGCATATCTTGAAGTTAGGATAAAGTGGATTGCCTCACAGATTTGCATGGGGGTTGTGAGAGAAGAATCAGGATTGCCTTAACGCTTTGGCTAGAACCATTAGAAGGACGGGTTGCTGTTTAAGGTAGCAGTGGGTTGGGTTTCAGAGAGATTCTGAAATGTCTGACTGAAACCCAGGAGGATGTGTTGGGTAGGAAGTTGGCTCTGTGTTTTAAGGGAAGAGTCTGGGATAGAGACTTCACTGTTGAAATTAATTACTTAGAGATAGGATCAGGAGCCCTGGGACAGGAGATTGCCAGGAAGAAGAGTACAGACAGTGATGAGAAGAGGTATGAGGACTTTTAGAGTTGGAAAGAAGAGGAACCAACAGAGGAGGCTGAGAATTAGCAGTCAGTGGGGCTGGAGGAGAAGACCGGGAGAGCTCAGGATACCTGAAGCTGGCTTGTAAATGTATTTTTAGTCTTTAGTTAGTGAATAATTCCAGCGCCTGGACTCATAATTCTAGCACCCTGGGAGGCTGAGGTAGGTGCAGTGCAAATTTAAGTCCAGCCTGGACAAGTCAACGGCTTAGAGAAACCTTGTTTGAAAAAACGACTGGGGAATGTAGCTCAGTGCAAATCCGCCCCCCCCCCGCCGCCGCCAAAAAAAAAAAAAAAATTGTCTTACAGAGAAGGTGGTCAGTGCTGCGCTCTCCTGCTCGTCAGACTGTTCATATGAGGACTGAGACTTACGGACTTTAACATAGTGGTAAAAGTGAACCCTGATTTGGAGTGAGCATTGTTAATAGTGTGTGGTTTCAGGATACACACTTGTTCACCGTTATCTTATTCCATCACTTTGTTTATCTTAGGTTCATTTTTAGAGTTTCTGGCATATTCTCAAGTATTATCTGTGTAATTTCTATACCTGATAATCTCATTGCAGTGAGTCTGAAAACAAGTTTTTTCACCTTCATACTTGGATGTGTTTCTCTTTCCTAGCCTCAGAAGGCACCCTACATTCTGCCTGAAATACCCTTCTCTCCATTCCTCTTAATTTATGGTCTTTTAGATCCAGAAAGCCCCTGGCCATCACCACTAGGTTTACAGTGTTCTTCATACATGCACCTCTGCTTACCACACTGTATTGAAATTGCTTTTTTTTTTTTTTTCTTCAAGAAGTTGTAAAGCTCTTGGAAGCAAGAATAGGTTTGTCTTTTACATTGTTATATCCCAGGATATAAAGCCTAGAACCTGGCATATGATAAATATATTTGTGTATTTGTATTTGCTAAAGAGCAGAACAATGGATGAGTGAACAATTTATATAGCAACTAACTGTTGGACCTTAAAAATGTGTGGCCCATATAATCCAAAAATCTTAATTATACAGGCTATTCACAAACATTGGCATTTATGCCTCATAATTGTATATATTATATATCTGGAGAATTTAGACTAGACTTTGAATTATTAATTTGTTTGAGGGCAAATATGAAAACAAACCAAAACAGTGAATTTAATGTGATATAAACCTCTTCGAGGCTGAAAAAACACTTCTGTGTTATTTGATATTTTTGCTGCAGAACCGTTGATGAAATAGATGATACAGAAGTTGAAGAGGCTCAAGAAGAAAAAATAAAATGGAAAGTTAAACTGGACTGTGAACAGATTCCCAAAAAAGTAAGGTTAAGTTGAATTACTGCAAACAGAGCTAGGGGTGCATGTAAGAAATTAAGGAGGGGTTCTGTTTGTCTCATCACAGTCAACATTTGGAATACAGCTAGCTTACATCAAGGAAATTTGGTTTACACTTTTTAAAGTTATCACTCACTATCTTTGCTATCATTTAATGTGGACTAATTTTTTCTCATATCAGATGGATAATGTCAATAAGTTTAATATTCAGTTTCTGAAATGGATTATATACTGTTTAAAAATTTTCCTTTCAGATTATATTAAAGATCTTAAGCATTTTGATTTGCTGTCTTAACCAGCCTTAGCAGTTTATAGCTTAATTTGGTAGGGCTGCCAGTGACAAAGTACCGTGAACTGCGAGGCTTAAACAGAAATTTGTAATTGTGGAGGCGGAAAGTCTGAGAACAGACATGGGTGGGCTGGCTCCTCCCGAGGGCTGTGAGGAGGAGTCAGCCCCAGCTCTTCCTGTGCTGGTGGTCCGCCGGCAGTGCTGAATGTTCCTGAGCTCTCAGCAAACATCGCTCTGGTCTTCGCTTTAATGTTCGCTTGGCGTTCTCTCCATAGATCTGTATCTGAGTGTCCCTTTTCTGTAAGGACCCCAGTCATGCTTCTTTCTTTTTAAACTTTTTTTTTTTTTTTTTTTGTGGAACCAGGGATTGAACTCAGACCTTTGCACTTGCCAGGGAAGCTCTTATTCCACTGAGCCATCTCCCCGGCTTAAACTTTTTTTTTAAGTTGGAAATTTCAGTGCACTACACAAGAATAGGTTTGGGGGGCCAGGGAGATGGCTCAGTGGAATAAGTGCTTCCCTGGCAAGCGCAAGGGCCTGAGTTTAATCCCCGGTTCCGCAAAAAAAAAAAAAAAAAAAAAAAGAATAGGTTTGGATTAATGGTGAGACTCATAAGGCACATGTGAGCTTTGATAGTACTTCCACTTAACCTTGTGAAAGGCTAGAGGACAGAAGATGACGCATGTACAATGCTGTCATCTCCTTGGGAAGCTTCTCAGCCAGCCAAGAAAACTTTTTTGGGGGCTAGGGAGATAACTCTGTAGAATAAGCGCTTGCAGGATCCTGAGTTCAA